CCCCCCCCCCGACCCCGGCCACGGGGAGGGCGATGGGGGCGGTCGCCCGCCCCCCCCTCGGCCCCAGCCCCCCACTCCCGCCGCCCCCCTCGCTCCCCCTTCCAGATCACCACGCACACACACCTCCTCCCCCACACCCCCCCTTCGGCAGCTTCCGGCTGGGCCGGCAGGAGGACGCGCACGAGTACCTCATCGCACTGCTGGACGCGATGCACGAGGCCTGCGTGCCGCGGCGCGCCCCCGGCGCCCCGCCCCCGCCGGCCCCCCCGGCCTCCTTCGTCACGCGCATCTTTGGGGGCGTCATGGCCAGCGCGGTGCGCTGCACCTCCTGCGGCTATGAGTCGTGCACGCGCGACCCCTTCCTGGACGTGAACCTGGAGGTAGCCGGCGCGGGCAGCGTGACCGGCGCGCTGGAGCGCTTCACGGCGGGCGAGGCGCTGGACGGCGCCAACCGGTACCGCTGCCCGCGCGAGGGCCGGCCCGTGCGGGCGGTGAAGAGCCTGCGCATCGCCTCGCCGCCCGCGGTCCTCGCCCTCCAGCTCAAGCGCTTTGGCTTCGGCGGGCACGGGCACAAGGTGACCAAGCGAGTCGACTTCGGCCCCGTGCTGGACCTGGGACCCTTCCTGGGTGGCGGCGCCGGCGCGGGGGGCGGGCGGGGCGGCGCGCGCGGGCCCCTGCCCTACGACCTCTATGCCGTGCTGGTGCACCAGGGGCACAGCGTGCACAGCGGGCACTATTTCTGCTTCGTCAAGGCGCCCAGCGGCGTCTGGCACTGCTGCGACGACGCCAGCGTGGGCGCGGTCAGCGAGCGCGTCGTGCTCGCCCAGCGCGCCTACCTCCTCTTCTACCTGCGCCGCGGGGCGGCGGGCGGCGTGGAGGGGGCAAAGGGCGCCGAGGTGGTGCCCAACGGGGCTGCGGGCCACGAGGCGCAGGGGGCGGGGAAAGAGCCGCCCCCTCTGGCAGGGCCGCCCGGTGCGGGGCCCGGCCCGTCCCCGCGCCCGGCGGGGCTCGTACAGCCCGGCGCCGAAAACTGCCGGGCCGGCCTCGCGGCCGACGCCAAGCCCAGGCCGCCTTCCCAGGCAGCCGCCGCGGGGCCGGCCGCCGCCCCCGCCCAGGGCGCCGCGGCCACGCCCTCCGGCTCGAGCGACTCCGCCCCGATCAGCGCGTTTGTCCCCGGCGCGGGCCGGCGCGCCGCCGCCGGCCGAGGCGCGGACCCCTTCCCGTCCCAGACGCGGTGCGTGGGTGGGGTGTGGAGCGGGCCGGCCGGTGCGAGTCGATGCGGGCCAGGTGCGCGCCGTGCGGCGCTCGCGGCCGCACGCGCGCGCGCGCACGCGGACGGGGGGTGATGACACGCACTGGGCACTGAGCCGCCCGGGCGACACGTCGCTCGGGTGCACGTGATCGATGCGCACTCTGCGGGCCTAGAAAACCCCTGACTGACCCCTCCGCGTGCGCGGGCGCCTTGAGTCTGTCTGTTCGGGGTGCGGCGTGCCGCTGCACCCCACGCCGACCACGTGCCTGCCTTGACTGGGGAAGGGCAGGTCCTCGGTCCTTGCCGCCCCAGCGTACCGACACCTCCCCATCAAGCTCATCCGGTCCCAAACCCCTCTGCCCCTTCTGCAGGTCCCGGCTGCTGGCGCGCGTGGCGTCCCTCGGCACGCCCGTGCCGATCGGGCGGCGGGCCAAGCGCGCCGCGGAGGGCGCGCGCCTCCTCAACACACTGCACCGGCGGCGGCGGCGGGCGGGCCAGGGCACGCCGCTGCAGGGCGGCTCGCCTGCGCCGCCCGAGGCGGCGCAGGCGCCTCTGGGCGCTCGGACCGCGGCGGGGCCGGGGCCGCCCGACGCACGGGCTGCAGCGCCGGGGCCAACGCAGGTCTCCGCGTCTGCCGCCGCCGCCCCCTCGTCCAGGCCCGCCACTCCCACTGTGTCGGAGGCGGGCGCGCGCATGGCTCAGCTCGCCAGGCCGCGGCAGGCCAGCGCGCGCGAGGTCGCGGAGCCGGGCGTCCGAGCTTTCCTGGCGGCGCAGGCCCGCCCAGCCCCCGGCGGTGCCTGGGAGGGCGTGGACGCGGAGGCCGCGCGCGCGCACGCGCGGCTCCTGCGCGCCGCGGGGCATGCGCGCCGGGCGCCGGACGCGTACGACGCCGAGTACGACGCGGGTCGGGTGAAGAAGGTGCGGCGCCGCGGCGAGGAGGGACCCGGCGGGCCCGGGCGCGAGGCCTTCGACTCGGCCGGCGCGGCGCGGCGGCGGGGCAAGGCCCCCGCCGTCGAGCTGCGTGGGAAGAAGAAGGCGCGGGCCGTCGCCGCGGCGAGGCGCGCCGGCGAGGGCGGGGCGAATGGCGACGCCCGCACGGGGCCGGAGCGTGAGTGAATGGACTCCGTCTCTGGGCAGGGACGCGGTGGGTGTGTGCACCCGGCTGCGGGCCAGCACTTTCATGCCCCTCCCGCGTGCCCCAACCCCTCCTCTCCCAAACCTGCCGTCGCTCGAGCACACCACGCCTGCTGGCGTCAGATCCGTGCCTCCCTGCCGCACCCCGTCACCATCATCCATCCTCATCATTTCTGCCCACTCCCGCCCGGAAAGGGCGTCGCACGATCACCTCGGCCCCATGCTATACCCTCCCTTGACGCACGCCTGTGGCCCACATTTCGTTCCATGACCATGACTGCAGGAGACCTGACCTTGACTGTAAGATCTTAGGAAAATCAGGGACGGGGTGGGGTGGGAGCCCGGCCTTGGGAGGTGTTTCTATTGAGCAGGAGGGGCCCCCGCTGCATGGTGAAGTTCATTCGTGCGCGGCAGGGCCTGGTGTGATCTGGTTGGGCTCAGTACTCGTGCCCGGGCAGGCTGCCCATCGCAAAATTCATCCTTGGCTCTGATTATCAAACCGCTGGTATCAAAAGCAGATCCAATACGCCAGGAGTGTCAACACTTGTTGGCCACCAGCTGCGGTGCCTTTGCGACACTCCATGGCCCGCAAGAGCAGCCGCTGCGATAGAAAGCGACACACTCTGACGCTGTGAAGCTTATTTTGGAACACAAAAGTATTCATCCAGGACCCAGAAGCCCATCTAGCGATCCACATCTCGGGAGAGAGGGATACTGATGGCGTTCTCTTTCAACAGCACGCCTGCCTCTGTGAGCTCGGTTGGGGGAGTGGAGGGACCTCCACACTCTCAATGTGTCGGTAGAGTCGGCTGAAGAACGTGATCGAGATCTCACCCTGCCCGAAACCCCGACCGCAGACCACCGCCTTCAGTTTCGGGGGAGGGGCTCCCGTGACCCAGCGAACAGGGTCGGCACCCCTCTTTGGGGGAGCCTCATCTGGCGCAGCAGTCACTCCCAGTGAGTGCTGGGAGCTGAAGTTCTGCGCTCTGACTCCTACCGCGATTACGTGACCACCTGCGCTCCCAAAACCAGCAGTCTCCACCCATCCCCGCTCGCAGGTCTGTTTGGCGCAGCCCCCTCCCCAGCCACCCCCGCCGGGGGCTTCTCCTTTGGCTTCGGAGCGGCCTCCACCCCCGCTGCCGCGACGGGTACGGGGGCGACTTCTGCGCCCCTGTTTGGGGCGGGGGTTGGCGGCACGTTTGGCGCCAGCAGCACGCCCTCGCTGTTCGGCGCCAGCAGCACGCCCTCGCTGTTCGGCGCCAGCAGCACGCCCTCGCTGTTCGGCGCCAGCAGCACGCCCTCGCTGTTCGGCGCCGGCGCACCACCTCCCACCGCCTTTGGCGGCGCGCCCGCGGGGACGCTGTCCTTGTTCGGCGCCGGAGCTCAACAGCAGCAGCAGCAGCAGCAGGCGGTGCCCTACGCGACCCCCGACCTCGGCGCGGTGCGTGAGCTGGAGGCCCTGCGCGACGCTTTCCTGCCCGGCACCCCCCGCTCCCGCTTCCAGCACCTGTTTTTGAACGTGGTGGAGGACCCCGCGGCCCGCGTCCGGCCCACGGGCGTGGACGAGCTGGCATGGCGCGCCGCGCTGCGCGCCGCGGGCGGCCCCGACAACCCCGACCGCCTCTGGCCCGTGGTCGCGGCGGGGGGGCGGAGCTGGTCGCGCGGCGAGCGGCGCAGGACGCCGCGCTGGCGGAGCACGTCGCGCGCCTGGACGCGCTGCGCGCCGTGCTGTCCAGCGTCGCCGGGCGCGCGCGGGGCGTGGTGGAGGAGGGCCTGGAGGGCGCGCGCGGCGCGCACCTGGCGCAGAGCCGCGCGCTGCTGCGCGTCGCGCGCAGCGTGGACGCGCTGGAGGGGCGCTTCGCCGCCGCCACGGGGCAGGGCCCCGCACCCGCCGCCGCGGGCGCGGGGTTGGACGCGCTGGCGGCGCGGCTGGGCGAGGCGGAGGCGGCGCTGGCCCCCGTCCCGGGAGGCCTCGCCGCGCGACTGGCGGAGGCCGGCGCTGCCGCCGCGCTGGCGGGGCCGGCGCAGGGCGCGCCGCCCCCAGCCCTGGACGACGACGCGCTGGCTGACGTGTACGGCCTGCTGAGTCAGCAGACGGCGGCGCTGGCGGGGGTGCAGGCCGTGCTGCGCCGCGCGGAGCGCGACCTGGAGGTGCTGGAGGGCCTGGCAGCCGCGGGGTGAGGCCTTTGGCCGGGAAGAAAGGGGACCGCCCTGCTCTGACTGCAGCCTGGCCGCGGCGCGCGTGGGTGGCCAGGTGTGCGCGCTGTGGCGTGGCCATGCTACACTGGCTGTACATGCGACGAGAGCCGGTCCGGATGCGCGTGCGGGGAAATCAAGTAGGAAAGGGCAACTGCACGCTGTGGCGGTTCACGCAGTGGGAATGCTGGCGAGGGGGCGAGTGCTGAGGGGCGTGGGAGCCACGCGGCGCCGCAATGGGCGGGCCGACCTACGCAGGAATAATGATGCCAAGGCAGGAACGAGTCAGCAGGGAGGGGCGGCAAGGAGTTGTTTGGTGAGTGGGGGCATGCAGCTCGTCGCCGCGGCCGGTTGGGCAGGCGCCGCCAGGGAGGGTGCCCAGGCTCGCATGGCTTGCGTCAGGAGTGCAAGGGCCTCAAGGTAGGGCCTCTCGGTCGGCCTGCAAACTACGCCGGTGGCACAACGGTCAGCTGCGTGGTCGCCGCCTCCCCGCCCTTGGCTCCCGCATGGCCGGGCTTGCCTCCCGTCGCGACCCCGGCCGCATGGCCTCGCTCGACAAGGGCGTGGCGGCACAGGGGGCACCGCGCCTCCAGCCGCTGCGTGAGCAGGATCCTGTGCAGGCAGGCCGTGCACAGGGAGTGCCTGCACCCCAGCACCAGGCTGGCGTCGGTGCGGAGGTACTTGCCCAGGCAGACGGGGCAGGCGCCCTCGCCCAGCTCTGCCAGGGTGGCAGGCGTCCTGGCCACCACGGCGTACTCATCCAGGGTGGTCCCCTCGGGAACTTGCTCTGAGGAATAAAAGTGAGGAACGAAGGTGTGGGAGGTTCTTGAAAGCTGGTGTAGGAGGGCGGTCCAGCCAAGCATGTTAGAGTACCCCAGGTTGCGCAGGCACGCGCGGAGGCACTGTCCGGCACTCACGCGGATGCACGCGCATGAGCAGGGCGGCCGGTACGAAGCCTCGTTGCCAGCATCGCCGCAGCCTCAGGTCCCGTGCTAGCCACATGATGAGGCCCCCGCTCATCACGACGACGCAAGTGGCCACAAGGATGAGGTACTCGATCCCCATTGCTCGTCGCGCAAGCTGCCGACTCGGTTTCCCTTGGATCACGGCCTTGGCTTCGATGACATGCACTTGCGCACTCCTTTCACGCGAAAAGAAAAATGAAGACGTTGCGAGGGAGATTCTTCATCACGTGAAGTCGCACCAGGACTAATATTCCATTTTGACGGCACAATCAGCCTGCGGTGAAAGCCCTAATCACCGTACCTGCAAAAACAAAGGTAGGAGATCCGCCATGTGAACGGAGCAAAACATAAAAGCAATGATTTGCAAAGCTTAGGATTGGCAGTACAATGCCTGGAGTATTACGAAGGAAAAGTATAGGAGTCGTACTGAGGAAGGCATCCGAATTTCAGGTACGAGGTGCGAAGCTTCTGCGGGGCCGGCTCCACCCCCCCTGGCCCCATTTCCGCGGGCCAAATCATCCGACCAAGCCGCCGCTATCTCCACTTGGTCATTTTTAAATGCTGTAAGTAGTCGAAACTCTTCTCAACCTGCTGACGAGCGGCTCAATGAACACACCTGCGTCGCTTTTTCTAGTCACGGGCGAGCGGGGTGGTATGCATGTACCGCGCGACGCAGGTTGGTATTATTGACAGTCATGAAAACAGTCAAGTCATGAGTTTGAGATCGAGAATTCGACACTGCTCGCATCGGTGGGACCCAATCATCGCCGTCGAGCCATTAGAGAGTAGAGGGTGGTCAAACAAACCTGAGCCGCAGTGGGATTCATGAAGCCTGCACGGCTGCCCTACCTGCTCATTTCGTTGTATGGGAGGAGATGGAATGTACAGCAGTTGAGTACAAACCCTGGACGGCACCTTCGTATTTACTGATTCTGGTTCCCCTTTGGGATCCACAATGTGTATGACTGAATGCAACATGCTGTGCCGATGAATTGCTGCTCACTGGGCATGATGCCCATGGATTAATGCCGGCAGCACAGGTGGCACAGCTCCTGTCTAGACCTTGTTTGAAATTATCCCTTGTCTTCCAGGTAGTACTGCACGGGCAAGACTACAAGGTTCGGGCGCTTGGCGTGTCAGCCCTTGGTGCTGTAGTCATGCCAACGCAAGAGCCTGGATGAGCAGGTACCCATTAGACCGGCGTTGACTCTGGACAAGAATACACAGGGGTATAGATGAAACCCCACTCGCCACGTGGTCGAGCTGAGGGATCATTAGACAATACAAATGCCATCAGGGGTGCATGCGACCAACCTCCAACACACTGTCACATCCTTGACAGAGCTGGCCTTCTGCATGTGGCCCGGCATGGGCCTTGTATAGAATACCAACCTCCTGGGAGCTTCGAGGCAAGTGCTGGAATTTCCCTTAATCCCCATACCTCCTCGGCAGCCGGACTAGAGGTTCTCCCTGACTACCTTGAACTACCCTGCCCGTCCACCCTGTTGTTGATTCCTGATCAGCATCCCAACTTTCTTCATAATAGATGGGACAAGGACGGCGAGAGCTGTTCATCGGCCGATGTCCTTATAGATTGGTGGGGGGGTCTGACTGCCGTTCGGTGGCTGTTCGTGTAACAGGGCCTGCTGCCCTCGCGCAGCAACCCCCCTGGCCTTGCTCTCCCGGCCATACCCGTGTTGTCGCCGCTAGCAGATTCTGGCAATATGGCTTTTGGATGAGAACAAAAGACAGAGCCCAAAGAACAGTAATGCAAACCCTATAGTGGAGTGGGACTTGAAACAGCGCTATCTCACCCAGTTTGGGCGCAGTACCCCTGCTCCCATCACAGGTCAGTGCCAGGTGCTCGACGCTACGAGCACCTGCTCAATGGCTATGGCCCCATGGTCCTCCGGCACCACGCGAAGTGCTCAATGCGATGCATGTACAGGACATGTGCACGGATGAAGAAGCAATCTTGGCTCATGATGAGGGCAGCAACGATTCTGCCCGCGGAGGAACGCGGCTTGCCCGCGCATGAGAATCAGCATGGTTTCATCCGTGAGAAGAGCTTGACTCTGCATCCATATACAAAAATGAAAATACCATGATGTAGCATCGAGAATGGGCGCACCATGCATCATGTTTGGATGCTGGGTCACATGGACTATCAAGTTGCCATTCTGGATGGTGCTCGTTAGCGGTCGCGGCCTAGCTGTAACGGGAGCCGCGGTACCGCTCCCGACTCTGGGTGAGGTAGCGCTGGTTCAAGCCCCACTCTGTCAAGAATTCTGCCAAGACTATTTTTTGAGGTCCTAGCTCTTGCTCATGGCCAAGACTAGATTGCCAGAACCTGCTCACCGGAACAAACAACATGGATGGCCAAGAAGGTGGGGCCGGGGGCATACTACGCATGAGGAGCAGCCCCCGTCACAAGCTCACTCAAGGGCCAAGTTATGTCTATGGCATGCAGAAAACGGGAGTTGGCATAGAGGAATACCAGATCTATTGCACTTTCGATGGAAAGCCTCCTCTGTAGTTTACTGTCAACATATTGGTGCTGACTCCAGTTGCCTTTTCCACACGCTGCGCTTATGTCCACACTCGCTTAGCCCGCCTACACCATTCTCACCGTGCGCTGGGTGTGCCTAGGCCCCGTGGGATACTGCCATGTCAGCTCGAAAATTCGGAGTCGGAAATCGAAAATGTAACTTCCCGGAGATCCCGCGCCGGTTGCGCCGAGACCCGCGATTTCGGAAACCCCGTCAGGGCGAAGTGGCACGTGATCATGCGCCCAAACTTTCAAACTTCGCACCGATGGCGATAGCTTTCAGAGGCCAACAGCGAGCTCACAGCCAGCGCCTTCGAGAACCGGGCATCGTTGCTCGTCTCAAACTCTGGTCAGCATGGAGTCTGAACCAACGAAGCGGCAGCGGCCCGTGCAGGGACGAGTCGGAGCCAAGTCGAAACAGGCACTTGCCGAGATTATTGCTCTGCGCAAGTCTGGGGCTCGACGTGTGGACACTTTTGAGGTCAAGGAGGAAGAGCCTGTCTACGACGTCGTCGACGAGGACCAGTATGCTCAGATCGTGAAGAAGCGGCGGGATGAGGGAGGTGCGCCCCCAGAGGGTAAAACCCGAGTGCTGCGGTCGGTGCGCCTGCCTGGAGGTGACAGCGTCAATTAATCAGGAGCTATTGAACATAAATATACTACAGGGGCCTTTGTTATCGATCGCAATGGCCTGGGGTACGCCGACATCGGCGAGGAGGTGGACTGGAGCGTGGAAGGGGACGGGGAGCATGAGGACCTGCCCACCGGCACTGCAAAGGCACTCGCCAAAGGTGGGAAGCAATGGAGTTTTACAAGGACAGAATGGTTGATAGTGTTCTTTTAGAGAGGATCCTCCTATCCAGATGCATCCCTTGGCCCCTCCCACTCCGTCAACCTTTGCCCCCTCCCACCCCATGCCTGGAACCCACAGGTCGCAAGAACAAGGCCGACCCCGCCCCGGCCCCTCCCGCCCAGCGAGCCCGCATGCAGAAGATGTTTGCCTCTGCGGCTGCCAAGCCTCGCGCCGGCAGCCGACCCGCCAGCCACGATGCGGCCGCCACCGAAGCCCTGCTGGAGGACATCCTGGGTGGCGTGGCCGCTGCCGGGTGCTCCCCCTCCGCCGCCTCCCCTGCTCGGAGAGCGCGCTACCCCGGGACCACCTCCCTGTCGCTCGCTGCCGCGGCGAAGGTCCCAGCCAGGTCAGTCAGAGGTTTGATGGCCCGCCCTCTCAAGGGCTGGCTTCACATCCCGACTCCCTGCCTGCCAACCCCACCGCCTGCTGTGGCAGGGTTGTGTGCACTTTTATGAAACTAGCTACGCATCCTTCCTGCCATCACCGACCTTCAGCAACTCAACCTTTCCCTGTGCAGGGCCGCGGCCGCAAGTGCAGTGGTCAAGGAGGAGGTCCCTCAGGTGCAGCCTGGTGTCAGGCTCGAGGATGAGGGTCTCGCCGCAGGTTCAGCATCTGAGGAGGCTGCAGGTGCCGAGGGTAACAGCCGCCCGGAGGCTATGGAGGTACAGGAGGACGCAGAGCCTCTCATGGCCCCGAACCCGCCGGCGGACAGAACAGAGCAGGCGGGGGCTGATACGCCCGCGAGGCCGGGTGGCGAGCGCCGGCAGCAAGCTGCCGGCTTGACGCCGGCCGGAGCTGGCGGCGGGATCCGCATGCCAGACGGCGCGGCGCCCCCGCCCCCACCCCCGCTGCGTCCGCCGGCGCGGCGGCCACCCCCCAGCCCGGCGGCTGGCGGACCCCGGCGGGGGCCCTCCCTGTGCAGCCCCCCACCCCCGACACGGCCGTGGCTGCTGGGGGCTGGCAGGACATGTATGCTGCCGGTGTCGACTGCCCTTCCCCGGCTCCCACACCGGCGCCCGGCGATGGCGCGGTGTTGACCGGCGCTCCCACCGGTGACGCGGCGGAGCTACCCCTGGACTCCAGCGGCGCGCTCCCTTTCTACCTGCTGGACGCGCACGAGGAGCCTGCGCAGGCCGGCACCGTCTTCCTCTTTGGCAGGGTGAGTGGGAGTCTGTCAGCGTGATGGTGTGTGGGACCAGGAGATGGACTGGTCGGTGTGGACAGGAGGCCTCCTTGTACTCGACGGCTGCGTCCCTCAAACCCCCGGGCCGACGCTCTGACCGGATGTGGAGTGATGGGAGAGTTTCATTGCTGTAGACCACCTGGAATGGGCTCCAGTCTTGAAATCACCTTACGTCGCACCACCGCCCGCCGCAGGTGCCCACCGCCAACGGCAAGCACGCCTCCTGCTGCGCTGTCGTGCACGGCCTGCAGCGCAACCTCTTCGTCGTGCCACGCGAGGACGTGTCCACCCCCGAGATCGCCGCGCTGGAGGAGCGGCTGGAGTCGGACCCCGGGGCGCGCGCCGCCCTCATCCCCCTCCTCCACGTGCGGCGGGTGGCGGCGGGGGTGATTGCTTCGTCGGCACGAGGGCAGCATCATGTTGTGTCTTGCCACGACAGCGTGGAGGTGGTTGCACCGCCTCGCCCACGCTGAGGCCCTTCCTGCCTCACCCCTCCCAAACTCCTCCCCCCCCACCTCCCCCCTTCACCAGGCGGCACTGACGCGGGTGAAGGAGGAGACGCGGGCTCTGCTGCAGGCCCACGGCGTGACCAGCATGGTGATGAAGCCCGTACTGCGGCGGTACGCTTTTGAGAACCGCGGCGTGCGCCCCGGGCGCCAGTGGGTGCTCAAGGTGCGCTACCCCGCCACCTGCCCCGCGCTGCCGCCCGGCCTGACCGGGGCCGCCTTTGCCGCCGTGTTTGGCGCCAACCAGGGCCTGCTGGAGGCGCTGACGCTGAAGCGGCGCCTGATGGGGCCCGGGTGGCTGGCGCTGGCCGCGCCACGCGCCGTCGCGCCCAGCGCCCAGCTCTCCTGGTGTGCGCTGGAGGTGGAGGTGGCGGGGCACAAGGCCGTGGCGGCGGCCCCGGCCGGCGTGCGCCCCGCGCCGCCCCTCACCCTGGCCAGCCTGCACGTGCAGACGGCGCTGGTGGCGGGGGGGGCGGCCGCCGAGATCGTGGCCGCCTCCGTGGTGTATCTGCCGGAGGTGGACGTGGAGGCGGCGCAGCAGGATGGGTGGAGGTCCGCGCGCGACCTGCGCCACTTCTCCGCCGTCTGTCGACTGGGCGGCGCCCCTTTCCCTGTCGGTATGAGAGCTGGGGGGGTGGCTTTGTTTCGTGTGTTTGTGGGGGGAAAGGGGGTAGGTGAAGGGCGCCAGCCATCACGCTGCCACCTCCACCCCCCCTGCTCCCTCCTCGCTCATCCTCTCCGGCCTCCCCAACCCACGCAGGCTTCGAGGCGCAGGTCAAGGCGGTGAACGCGTCCGAGGTGGGCCGGCGCAACGGCGGCGCCGTGCTTTCCTGCCAGGCCTCGGAGCGCTCCCTGCTGGCCATGCTGGTGGCCCGCCTGCGTGCGCTGGACGTAGACGTGCTGATGGGGCACAACATTGCGGGCTTCGACCTCCCGATCCTCCTGCACCGCCTCCAGCACCACAAGGTGGGTGGGTGCGGTGGAGGGGGTGGGAGGGGGGCTGGTGGATTACGGTACCTGGGTCGAGGTCTGGAAAGGAGTGGCGTGGCCTCGGTGCACGAACGCAATTGCGAGGGGATGAGCTAGAGGGCGTGCACTGCCGGCGGGCCTCCCATGCGCGATGCCTGGGCGGTCACGGGGCATATACCCATGAGGTGTTTGGATGGGGAGGATCTGATGCTGTGCATGGGGCGTCAACGACCCCCTATGAAAGATGGCCTAGGCCCAGGGTCACCCAGCGTGGTGACAACCCCCCTATTCCACTCCTGCTGGCACGGCTTCCCCCATGCAGGTGCCCCACTGGAGCGGACTGGGCCGGCTGAAGCGCCACAAGTTCCCCAACCTGGCCGGGGGCGGGCACCAGTTTGGCGGCGGTGCAGGTGACACGGGGGGGGGAGGGATGCAGAGAGTTGTTTCATCTGTCTACGTTGTCGTGGTGATGCTGCGCCGTCATTTCGCCACATGCAGCACACTTCCCCCCCTGCGCCCCACGCCCCGGCTCCATGCACGCTGATGATGTGTCACCCTCGCCGCCAGACTCACATCGTGACCACCCTACCCTGCGAGGACCCCCTCAATCACTCACGCCCCTCCTTCCATCTCAACCACAGCCCCCGGCGTGCTGGCGGTGCTGGCGGGCCGCCTGCTGTGCGACACCTACCTGGCGGCCCGCGACCTGGTCCGAGAGGTGGACTACACGCTGGGCACGCTGGCGCGCAGCCTGCTGGGCGAGGCCCGCGTCGACGTGTCCCCGGGCGACGTCCCCGCGCGCTACGCGGCCTCGGACCGCCTCCTGGCCCTGGTCCGGCTGACCGAGTCGGACGCGTGGCTGGCGCTGGGCCTGGCCTTCCGGCTCAGCGTGCTGCCCCTCACCCGCGCGCTGGCCCAGCTGTCGGGCAGCGCCTGGAGCAGGTCGCTGGCGGGGCAGCGCGCGCAGCGCATCGAGAGCCTGCTCCTCCACGAATTCTATGCGCGCAAGTTCCTGCTCCCGGACAAGCTCTCCGGCAAGGTGTGTGGGGGTGGTGGACGGGGATGCTGGGCGGTGTGATGGGGTTCAACATGGTGTAGAGAGTGAGGGATGGTCCCTGCAAAGAGCAAACCAAGGATCAGGAGGCTGATCGCTGCCGTGGATCCGGCGAGCACCGCATCAGGACGAGGCAGGTGCCGCTGCTCTCGACCCTGACATCGTCAAACTCTTCATGCGCACCCGACGGTTGTGGGGAGGAGGTACCGCAGCGTCTCGGCGAAGTCTGTTCGAAAACTCCCCGACCATGAGCATTGTCACACTGAGGGGGGGTAATAGAAACCACCCTGCTGGAACCCCAACGCCTTCATGCTCCCAATCCTCTCCATACATACTACTACCCCCCCCCACACCCACACCCACACCCACACAAACCCCCTTGCAGGAGAGGGAGCGGCTGGAGGCGGCGGCCGCCGAGGAGGCGGAGGGCGAGGGCGACGCGCCGGCGGTGAAGAAATCGGGAAAGGGGCCGCAGTACGCCGGCGGCCTGGTGCTGGAGCCGCGGGTCGGGCTGTACGACCGCTACGTCCTGGTCCTGGATTTCAACTCGCTGTACCCCTCCATCATCCAGGAGTACAACATCTGCTTCACCACCGTTGTGCGGCCCAAGGTAGGGGCAGTGGCTTGAGAGTGGTGTCGAAGAGGTGGGGTCCTGAGGGAGAGGGGGCGATAATGCAGTCCCGTCCCCAGCGCCAGACATGGTGAGGCGGGTGCTTTGGCCCATGCAGGCCCCAGGCATGCTCGAGGCACTCGAGCGTTCGGCCGCCGACGGGGCTGCCTCGGCCTGGAATGAATCCACTTGACAGAACCCCAAACTTACCCCCTTTCCCCTGCAGGACGGCGCCGTCCCGGCGCTGCCCCCGCCCTCCGAGGAGCTGGCGGTGCTGCCCAAGGTACTGCAGACCCTGGTGCAGCGCCGGCGCACGGTCAAGGACCTGCTGAAGTCGGAGCGGGACGCGGTGAGTCCTGCCGGGGTCAAAGGGGGAGTGGGATGGGGATACCAATCTGGGGCCATCGTGGGTGATGGAACCGCCGGGCAAACGTCAGACTTGTGCGGGGCTGGCGCTCGGTCGGGGCACATGAGAGGCCGTATGCCACCAGCACTGTCACTGTACCACACCCCTGCCAACATCATCCCTGCCAACATCGTCCCTGCCCCCCCAATCCCTACTTCCTCCAGGTGCGCCGCGCACAGCTGGACATCCGGCAGCAGGCGCTGAAGCTGACGGCCAACAGCATGTATGGCTGCCTGGGGTTCACCCACTCCCGCTTCTATGCCCGCCCATTGGCGGAGCTGGTGACCGCTCAGGGGCGTGAGGTTCTGCAGAGCACCGTGGATCTGGTCCAGGGTGCCCTGGGCGCGGAGGTCATCTATGGCGACACCGACTCCATCATGATCCACACCGCCAGCACCGACCTGGAGGCGGTCACGCGTATGGGCCACGCCATCAAGAAGGAGGTGGGTTGGGGGAGTGGTGAGGGGGGGTGGGGGCAGTGAGTTTGGTGCCCTCAAACGAGGCTTTTGAGAGGATGCCAGTGCAAGTTTCTCCACCGTGAGCTGCACCTCGGACCGGGCTGCAGGCACCAGACACAGCCTTGCGATAGAGTCCACCCTGTCATTGAGGCCACTCCCTTTGCCCATCCCATCCCATGTGCCTCGACCCTGCACCCTCCTACCCCTTGATACGCCCCCTCGCTCCAACCCCCTCATTCCTGTCCCAGGTGAACAAGCGGTACCGCTTGCTGGAGATCGATGTGGATGGCGTGTACAAGCGCATGCTCCTGCTGAAGAAGAAAAAGTACGCCGCCATCAAGGTCGAGCAGGCGCGCGGCGACCAGGCTCCCACAGAGGTGCGATGGGGTGGGGGTGGTTTGTGTATGACGCGGTGAAAACAGGGGAAGGCCGGGGCGCCGACTTGTGTGGGCCTGTGCGCAGGACGCCTGCTGCAATCTGTCCGACGTGCTTTTCCTCGTTGCAAGTCACGCAGAGCGTGGAGCAAAAGGGGCTGGACATCGTTCGGCGTGACTGGTGTCCCCTGGCCAAGGACGTGGGGAATGCCGTCCTCACAGGTGTGAGCTGCTCACCTGGCAGGGGCGGTGGGAGCGCTGGGGTGCTGTGCACCCTGTCGACCGCCGTGCAGGATCTTCCCTGCGCTATTCTCCCGGCATGTGACCCTGAACATGGTGCCGGGGGATTCTGGCGTGGTCCAAGAAACGCTCCCCTCGCCCCTCATCTCCCTGCCCACCACACCGCACGCCGCCCTTGTAGAGATCCTGAGCGGCAAGGCGCGGGAGGAGGTGGTCCAGGCCGTCCATGCCCACCTGGACGACGTCCGGCTCAAGGTGAGCCGAGGCACACCGAAAGTCTTTCGAGGGGTCACCAAGCACCCGGCTGACCAGCCCTCAGGCCGCCACCTCTCCACCTCCTCGCCCTCTCACACAAGACACACACACACACACACCACACAATCACAGGTTGAGGCACAGGCCGTGCCCTTGAACAAGTTCATCATCACCAAGCAGCTGACCAAGCAGCCCAGCGACTACCCAGACGCCAAGAACCAGCCCCACGTCCAGGTGGCCCTGCGTCGGCTGGCGGCTGGGAAGCGAGATGGCGTCGCCCAGGTGGGGGCTTTGGCTGTGTCGGCTGGGGTTTGAGGAAGGAGTGTACGCGGAGCAGGGTCCGAGCGAGCCTGGGCATGCTGAGCGTTGTGACATGGCGAGTGGGGGCTCCAGGAGGTGCCTCGAGGGCTGCTCCAAGTAGCCGGCCCCCAAGACGCCCAGGGCTTTCTATCCAAGGGCCGCGCGTCCGAGCAAACGTGGGACGTCGGGTGCCTTTCGACGCCATTCAGCCTGCCCATTCCATCGCGACAGCACCTTGCACATCTTCGGATCCACTCCCAACGCTGTCTGCAGGGAGAAACCGTGCCGTACGTGATCTGCGACGAGGCAGCCGACGAGGCGCACCAACAGGTCGCCGCGCCGGAGAGGTCGCTGGCGGAGCGCGCGTACCACCCGCAGGAGGTGAACGCGGCGGGTGTCTCCCTGCGCCCCTCCGCCCTCTACTACCTCTCCGCCCAGGTGCTGCCCGTGGTCACGCGCCTCTGCGCCCCCATCGAGGGCACCGACCCCGCGCGCCTCGCCGCCTGCCTGGGGCTGGACCCCGCACGGTACCGCGGCGCCGCGGCCGCCGGCGCGGCGGCTGCCGGCGACCGCGACGTGGTCCTGGGCGCCGGCGCTGGGCTGGACGACGACGACCGCTTCAAGGCCTGCCCGGGGCTGGAGCTGACGGGGAACAACGGCACGCGCTTCCGCCTGACCGGCGTGCGCGACCTGGCGGCGCCCGCCGCCCGCGTGGCGTGTGACTCAGCGCTGCTGCCGCCCGACGGCCTGGGCGAGGCCGTGGATGGAGGTATGGCGGTGCAGCCCCTTACCCCGGCCCAGCTGTCCAACCAGACCGCCCTCTACTCCCGCCGCTCCATCGCCAGGTGGGCTAGAGGTTGGGGGGAGGGTGTGCGACGGAGAGTGTCTCGGTGGCCTGCTGTTGTGTCGGGTATGGAGCCCTGTTGCCACGGACATCTGTTTCAGGAGGCAAGGCGCTCAAAGTACATCCCATCGTGAAGGCCCATGC